CCATTATCAAGTCAACATTCTTTCTCCAGGCTGCAGTGCAGGTCTCTAAATTCCAGTCTGAATGTTGTGTTATGCCAGCATCTAGGTGCATGAATGTTTGAAGCAACATTGTAAAGATGGCCTGCTTATTATAGTGCAGCTTTTTCTGAAACTTGGTCATCTCTGGCAAGTTACTGATTTCTCAGGGCTCAAGATTTATCAGGCTTGATTTATAGCAATGGTAACCACCTTGGCCACGATAATTTCCTTTTTTCTCTTTAACTCTCTTTGTTTCTTTGTTTGTTTCATGATAAATAAGACTGGGTCTCTCTAATGTAGGTCTGGCTGTCCTGGAACTCACAGGGTACCTCCTGACTCTGCCTCTCCAGTGCTAGCATTAAAGGTGTGCATCTCCACCCAGCCCTTCAAGAAATGTTTGTGTTTGATAGAAAAAATTTGTGACAACAAGCTCTTGGGGAATATGTTGTCATTGTTCACATCTAATTTCAATTTTTTGTTTTATTAAGTGTTTGTATGTTTGTCTATTTGTTTTATTTACTTAATTTTTGGTTGTTGAGAAAGAATTGCTCTGTGTAGCTTAGTGCCATTGCTGCATCTTGCACTGTAGACCAGGCTGGCCTCAAAGTCACAAAGATCTGCCTGCCTCTGCTTCCTGAGGCCTGTGATTAAATGTGCGCAGGACCACCCACTGCCACGCTGTTTTTTATTTAATTAATTGTTTATTTATTTATTGTTTATTTATAGTTACACTCATGATAATAATTACATTCATGGTATTCATGGATTACATTCACAATATTTATTCAATAATTATATTTATGACATTCATGAATTACATTAATTTATTGATTTAATACATTCATAATATTATTTCTTCAATCGACTCTCCATTTCTGGGACTTTTCCATCACACAAAACAGACATTCTGTACTTAGGAAGTCATTGCTCTTTATTTCTTTCTTCTACATCTTGAGATAATGTCTAATTTTTCTGTCTCCATGATTTGTATATTCTATATATGTTATCTTAAAAGATTCAATAGTGTTTGTCCTTTTTTTTGAAGGTACAAAAGATTTTATGTACAACAGTAGGAGAAATAATACAGATAGCGTGAACATAAAAACAGGTTATACTTGAAAAGTCCAAGATTATTTTCAACAGTACAGTATTTTCTCGGTGGAATATAGTAAATATGAGCCTGGCAGTGGTGAACACCTTTAATCCCGGTACTCGGGAGACAAAGCCAGGTGTATCTCTGTGAGGTCGAGGCCAGCCAGGTCAGAACCCAAAAACGATATCAAGAATCAGGCCAAATATGTATGCGGACATGCTGAAAGAGTCATCCAAGTCAGCTGTGGACAGGGTTTGGTTCTGGACGCGATGCAACATCTTTTCACCTAGGGAGAGAAAGTGGAACACTGGTAAAGTGAAGCTCAGGACTGGGATCCAAGACTCCCTTGGGGACAGGATAGGGAAAGAATACAGACAAGCCCAGGCCCAACCAACCAGTCATCTATTCATTCCTCCCCAGGATCTTAGAGACCTGAAGAAATGAAAATGTCTGTAACCTAAAACTGTTTCCCTCAGAATGGACTTTGAGGAGCATCTGAATTCCCACAGTCCTGAGAGACTCAATCAGAATCTATGGTGCCATACAACTATTATCTGTCAGGCAGTCAACCGTCAAAGGCATATCTGTCAAAGTCATCTACCTCGGGCCTGGTGGTAAGCTTGCTGGCTCCCCACACTCCGAATCATATCCATCAACCACTTCTTTGCTCTGAGTGGTCCAACCACAGTGACTCGAGTCTGGCCTGAGGCTGTAAACCACCTCTCCAGTTGAATGAGGGTGTTGCTGTGTAGCTCGATGCTTCTGAGGTATCCATCTTCATGGCCTGAACACACAAGATACAACAAAAGGATTTATAAGCCACTAGCACTATGTGAGGAGGCTGGAATTGGGTGGCAGTTACCTCCAAGATTAAAACCTGTTCTGAGTGAAGCTGTAAATAAAGACAGTGGATGTTGAAAAAGAGGCAGAAGAACAGGGTGTGGCAGAAGAACAGGGTGTGGCTGT